TGCAGACAGGATCTGATTTTCTCTGGCCCTGCATGGGCCTTTGGGATGGTTTCTGCAGAGCTTCATGACCAAAAGGACAAAAGGGGGCTGTAGCCGCAACTCACCATCCCCTCCCCAATGGGCAATAAAGCCACTCATTGGGCATCATTCCCAGGGGCAGGCAGAACAGACCCAGAAGCAGAGATGTCTCAGGAGGGTCACAGGTGCACAAATCCCTTTTCCCCATCTTCCCTTTCCACATATTGATCCCCTCCCCCCTGAATGCACCTGCCCCAAAATCTGATCCAGGCTGTTCCCTCTGATTATTAAGATGAGAGTTCCCCGCTCTTATGGGATTTGTCGCACTGTTCAGCAGAAGTCTGTGCACTGTACAAATGTGGTCCGTATCAGTGGTTCCCGGCAGGCAGCAAAGGCCCAGAGAGAGACTAAGTGACTTGCCCAGGATCATTCAGCTGGTCACTAGCACAGGTAGAGTCTGATTCTGAGTCTCTTAGATCCCAGCTTTGTGCACCATCCTGCCTGCCTTTTTTAAACGGTGCCTTTAGGAAGTCCCTCATGATGACACTTCCTTACCTGGGTGCCAGGAGGGTGTTATCACCCTCATTTCACACAGCAGGAGAAGCTGAGGCATAGAAAGATCAGCTGGGTTCAGAGCTAGGAGAGCCTGGGCACCCTCCTTGTTCAACAAACAGCACGTGCCTGCTGAATATCAGAGGCAGGGCCATTAGTTTAAGCACCGGGTATCTGTGTTCACACAGCAAGGACTGAGATTAGCCAGGCCTACCCCACCTGGTGCCAAGACCACAGCCCTGCTTTGCGAGCACCATCACTCAGGCACATGTGGGGAAAGTCTGCTCCAGGGCCAGCCGGTGAGCAGCAGGGCTCCGCTGGGAATTTGCTGACCTGCCAGAGTGCCAGCTGGTAAAATGAGAGCAGAGAGGGCTAGGGTTGGGAATGGGGCCCCCTTGTCTTGGTGTGGCAGTGCAGCAACTTGAGGAGGACAGTGCCGGGCGCTGAAAGGGTGGTTTAGAAAGTTAATGAAGCAGAAAGGCTGTAGCAGCAACCAGGTATGGTTTGTGTGATTAGTCTGTTGGAGGCACTTTAGGGAAAGGCCAGTGCCTTCGAGTGTCTGGAGATCTGCTGGATCAGCTGTGAGATGTGGCACCTAAACACTGCAGTCTTCTTCTTTGGCTGAACACGAAGCTGGAGCTGCCAGGCCTACTCACTGCTCCGTCGGCTTCTTGGTTGTGTGTCAGGTCTGTCCGTAAGACGTGGTCAGCAGCATTTTGTCCTGGGCTGGTTGTCGGGAGTGAGCTTGATGGACTCTGTTAAGTAGTTCTCCAGAATCCCCTGGTGCTGGAAAACAGAAGATGAGACAAGCTTGGATTGGGGATTGTGATAAATCTCCAGTGATCTGGAGCGAGTTTTAGGGGTCTGAGAGATTCCAGGCTCAGTTGTGTTTGGTAGAGAAAATTAGGCAAAAGGAAAGAACCTCACGCAACAGATGCCAGTCACATTGCTCAATGCACTCAGGTGCTACAGCACAGGGCAGGGTATATCATTTCATTTGCCCATTATGGAATTATGGCTACATCAATAGGTAATGGATACTGCATTTATCCAACGACTTTAACTTAGCACCATTTCAGTACAAAGGGGTTTGGTAATGCTAGCTCATTGTAAGCATGCAAGGTTCAGTACAGACCAGCTCTCTCACTATTTGTAGCATAGCCTGGTACTCCAGTTACAAGGATAAATGGTCTCCACTGCTCCAGCAAACATTTATGGGTGTAAAACTCCAGACCTAAGGGATTTGTTGCATGGTTATTTTGGATGCCTCCTGGAGCTCTTAAATCCCTGGACTGTCTGCACCTTAAAGGGGCTTTATGGCATACAAAAAACTAGAACTCTTGGTTCCATAATTATACCTTTTATTAGTTATGCCACTCCATGGCAGGATTATCTCTGATCTGTGCTACCCAGCTCTTGCTCCATTAAGGTGTCGCCACTCCCCACAGATGTGCTGTCCAAGTTGAAGTCCTCTAGTATCCCAAGATCTCTCATACCCCCACCCGTAGCAAGTCACAGCTGTGCAGGTGGGGGACAGTCAGAGAAGGTTTCTAGACTAAGGGTGTGACTGCTCCAAACGCCAAGCTAGTATTAACACTAATCACCATTTATGCAGCTCACAGTGTAAAGTGTAATAAGCCCCTAAAACGGAGGCACTATTTCTAAAATACCAAGTTCTTAAATCAAATGCTTTTCCTCCTTTCTTGATTTCATAGGGATGGCCACTAGGGAGCACCATTAACTAAAGCTCCAGTGTACACAGCTGTATATATTGCTTCACATCTGGACTCCTAGGATGAGTCAAACAAATGTGCCCGTGCTTTTAATGAGTATTGATTCCTTGACTTTTATTGTTCCTTCTTTTTGAAATAAGGAATATTCAGCAC